CAAACAATGAATCATGGAACACTACATCTAAAACTAATGATGTAATGTATGGGGATTAACATAACAATTAAAAAATTAAAAAAAAACAAGGGTGAACCCTAATGTAAAAAAAGATAAAAGATGTGAAAGGGGAAAAAAAGTTGTATTCGGTTATTAAAATTATATATAAAGAAGAAAATAAAAAAGTAGTATGCAATTACTATACTGTTCTCAGTACAGAAAACCTTAGCTCTCCTATTTCCAAATAATAATTTTTATAAAGGCAAGATGCAGCAAAACAAAAACAAATGAAGGCTTGGGGTAAGACATATTTACATGTTGGGCTGAATTTAGATTATTTTGCAGATTCCCCCCAGCTTTAAATGTGTTAAAACTTGGTTGTATTTTTTAAATGGGTATAAAAAGGCCATCATTGAATGATTAGCATATGTAGCATATGAGATGAGATGAGCCAGTGACTCAAGTCTTCACAACGCAAGAAGCTATAAAGCTATACTTGTTCTTTTTTTTTTTTTTTTTAGAAAGAGAGCATAAGGAGGGCAGGAAGCAGAGGGAGAGGGAGAGAGAATCTTAGGCAGGCTACACGCCCAGCACGGACCCCATTGCATGCTCAATGCAGGGCTAGATCTCACGACCCTGAGATCATGACCTGAGCTGAAATCAAGAGTTGGACGCTTAACTGACTGAGCCACCCAGGTCCCCAAGCTATACTTGTTCTTGATAAGTGTAGCTAGTTCACACTGTTTCATGCCTTTCATTTCCACATAAGAAAAAAAAATGTAATATATTTTGAGCAAAAAGTATAGTCATGGCAAAGAAGATATATTAACAATGCAATTGCATTTTAAAAGTAAAAAGTTTAATTTGTAAGTACCTTCACTTTAAGTGATAAAGTAACTGCTTTATAGGAAAGTAATCCATGGTGACATGGTACACACAAAAATATTCCATAATATACCTACTATCAATGATAATAGAGATCAGAACATAGAATACAAGAAAATGTGATGTCAGAAATAAAGAATGCATACCAAAAACCTGGCAACTAAACCCTGAATCTAATAATGCCAAAATTTTTAAATTAAATTGTTTACCCACCTAGTCTTTCTCTGAAGTATTCAGTAAATATTTTCCACACAGTTGCCCAAATCTATAATAGTACTTAATTCTTTATATGATTATTTAAAAAATGCACTGAATTCCTAAAAGCTTTACAAGTAACCTAGAAGTTACAAAATTTTCAGGAAACTATTACTACAATTGACATTAACGTGATGTTGATGAATTTTGAAATTTAGACTCCATAAATTTTATATTCATTTCTATATATAGCTTCACAAAATGAATCATTTTAAAAAGTGGAATAAAGGTAGAGAGCATGCAGAAGCCCAGCGACAGTTCAGTTGTCATAATTTCCACAACAGAGGATCGTTGGCTCTGGCAGGTAACCAAGAATAAAACATACACCCCACACCACCAAACCCCATGTCTGGAAGTGAAAGATCTTTGAAAGTTGAGTTCTCTCTTCTTTTCAGGATGATCACCATGAATAGCAATGAAGTTTTTTCCATAAAATAATAGATACTGAGTATCTACCATGTTTAAGGAACTACAATAGGTATAGAAGGATATACATGGGAAAATATAATACCTTTTTAGAAGTAGTATAAAACCCATCTAAGAGAGTAAATTCACAAATAATGAGAGTGCAAGACAAGGTCCAAGTGCCATAAGAAAGGTACAAAGGCCCAGGAGTAAGATAAGAGTTTTAATCTGTACTCCTTTTTACAGGTCACACAGAACAACATAGACACATCAACCAATTATCTTACAAGATCAGTGGAAGAGTTCTGCTCTCACTTCTCAGACACAAAGAGGGATGAATCTCAGCCTGCATAGACAAGTAGGCTCTACTGCCTTATAATATTTTCAAATACTGTGAACCCTGAACTAACTAAGTGCTGCTCAGCCCAACCCTGCCTGTCCTGGCCCCTGTCTAGGGAGCCCCTTCATACCTCCCCTAATCCAGAGACTAAGGGTTTAAAGCCTGTTCAGCAGGCTCTGATTGGTCAGAGCCCAGGTTGTACCTACTGTTAAATACTTTAAAGAGTATCCCTGCATATATGTAAGTATTGAACTAATGCCATGCAGGTAGCAGATTGGCATACCTGGAATCCTACAGTATTAGCTCTGGCAGAGAACCCTGATACTTTATATGAACTGGTTATTCGCTGCTTTGCCCCTTCCTGTTCGCCTCCATTGACTCTCCTCCCTCTACATTCTACTTTGTCCTTTGTGCCCCATGGAGGCAGGATTCTGTGGACCCCATCACTGGGGCTGCTTTGTTCTCTGATTTCTGGTTGGATTCAATCAATAGGAGGCACTGACAAGATCAGAGGATTAGAGGGCAGGAAGAGGGAAGACAGGTCCGTATCCCTCAATTCTACCCTCTTGGATGGTCTCCAGTTGTAAGCAATGGCTGTGTTGTACATTTAGCACTCCTGGGAAGTGGTCTGCCTGCTTCTCCCATGCTCCCGCATCACTGTCACTTCCCGTGACTCTTCAGATCAGGAGGGCTAACAGCTTCCCACTGTTTCCAGCCCTGGGGGCTTCACATCCCTTGTTGGTTTGGTTCCCTTAACCCTATCCACACTTCATGCACTGTCCCTTCACCAAACTCTCTTTAGTGAAATCCATTGACCAAGTTTTCTTCTGGAACTCTACTGAAGCACTATTATGTTCATGGTTTTCATCCAGTCATGGCTTATACAATAATTTGCAGTAAACTTTCTTTAAATAGACTCACTTTTTATAACATATAAACATATTTTTAAAAACATAACTCCTTATCACTGCTATAAAAGAAAAATCAGTATTAGATGCCCATAATAGAAGGTAATAATAAAAATAATAAAAATAAAGGTAACATTATCAATTTCTCCATATTGTGTCTATTTAGACTCTGAGTCTCTGGTTTCATTTCCCTGTAATAGAAAGGAAAAGTAACAAGTTAAGCTACTTAAGTCATGGTAATATAAAGATGAAACATTCTCACTGATACACAAAGAATATAAGAAACTTGAAAACATTCTCACCAATTGATTCAATGCTACTTAATGCAATAATCAGTATAGCACCTTAACCTTCTTGAGTACCCCCAGGATACCTGACCTAATTGGGGGAAATATGGCCTTTACAACACTTCACTCTTCATGGACACTAGAATCCACACTAGACTCTGCCATCTACTCCAATAAGCTTTTGATTGCATTTCCACTTCTGAGTGGAGGTTTAACTCAGGACAATAATGCAGGGGAGCTTATAAAGCAAAGTGTCCTCCCCAATAGTGAAGAGGAGAGAATGCAACCTATAATTTTAAACAGCATCTATTCCTTCCAAGCACTTTTCTCATGTCTTATGAATCTTGAAACAAGGAGGGGACTCAGGAGATGATCTGAGCCAAATTAGAGAAATTTACTAACTACAAAATCGATGCACAGACAGGATCAGTAACTTATGTTTGATCTTATAGCTACCATATTTGTATCTGCATAAGGCACCTTTCCTGAACCTTCTCATGCTTGAACAATAAGTGCTTCCCAGCCATCACGGTGTGACCGATTGAAGCAGCTTTTGGTAGATGTCCTTTCCTCAACAAGCAGGAAGTAGG